GTCTGCAGCGGAGAAGCCAAGCCTTGCTGCAGCCAGACCAAAGGCCTGGGTCCCGGGTGCCAGAGGAAAACCGGTGCCAGCAGCCAGGGGAAGGAAGGCCTATTGCGCAAATCTTCGTGCAACAGGCTTCTAGTATTGTATAACTAATAACTATGTATGGTGTCATATGGGTACCAGATTTATCTGGGTGAGTACTTAGTAAGTTATATCATGTCTAATCCCTGGGCTGTACACCTAAATAAATATAATATGGTATATCAACTGCAATTGAAAAATAAAAACTTATTTGAAGTAAAAAATGTGTATCTAGGTAGCACAATCTAAAATAAAAATGAATGACTGGAACCTTCAATTTGTTGAGCCATTACATTGCAAAAGAGGATTTCCTGTACCAAAATTCCTTTTTTTTTTTTTTTTGTCTTCTGCAGAATGACAAATTAATCCCCCTCCCTCCCCCCAGCCCCATAAAAGGAGACATCTTACCAACAGGAGCAGAAACACCCAGTACTTCTTTTGCTACCTTTTTAAAAAAATGTATCTTTATTGTTGAAAGTATTATAGATGTCCCCTTTCTTTCCCCTATTGACCCCCTCCACCTCACCCCTGCTCTCCCCCCAGGCCTACCTCACTATTGTCTGTGTCCATGGATTATGCATGTATGCATATAAATTCTTTGGTTAATCTCTTCATAACTCCCTCCCCTACCATTCTCTCTTCCCTCTGAGATTCCTCAGTCTGTTCCATGCTTCCATGTTTCTGGATCTATGTTGTTCATAAGTTTATTTTGTTCACAAGCTTCCACATATAAGTAAGATCCTGTGATACTTGTCTTTTTCTGACTGGCTTATTTCACTTAGCATAATAGTCTCCAGGTCCCTGCATGCTGTCTCAAAGGGTAAGAAATTCCTTTTTTTTTAAGCTGCAAAGTATTCCATTGTGTAAATGTATCACATCTTTTTTATCCACTAATTTACTGAGGGGCACTTGGGCTGTTTCCAAATCTTAGCTATTATAAATAGCACTGCTGTGAACACAGGATGGGTATATTCTTTTTGATTGCTATTTCATTCTTTTACTACCTTTAAAAAAATATGTTGTTACTGATTTTAGAAAGAGAGGAAAAGAGTGATAGAAACATTGATGGGAGAAAATCAACATCAATGGGGGAGAATCAACATTATCTGGCTACTTCCCACAAGCCCCCTGCCAGGGATCAAACTGGTGGCCTCCTGGTGCATGGGTTGATGCTCAGCCACTGAGCCACACCAGCTGGTGTTGATTTACCTGCCCCATAGCCCCAGGTCTTGAAACCAACCCTCCTTCTATTCAAGAGAAAGGATTTGAATATTTGTAATTCTATAAAATCAGGTTTTGTATTTTTATGGGCTTTTTTTGTTTTTGTTTTAGAACTATGTGCATTTGAAACATGATTGTGAAAGAAATTTTATTCAGAAGCAAGTGAATATTCTCACAAATGTTCAGAGTCTTGTTGCTCCAAAAAACCATAATGCAATCTTTTTCCTTTGCTGATTCTTCTCTACTTCACCTCCTTGAAATACTAACAAATGATTTATCAAATGTACAAAACTCAACTCAATGTACGTCACCCCCTTACTCCCTTATCTCACTATCACTGCCCTCCTTGGCAACTGCACACCTATCAGGTGTTTCCAGAGAGATTCCCTAGTAGACTATTGGCTCTTCTACTATTTTTTTCCCCTCTTGATAAGTCTTTAGAGACTGAGTTAATGTTCTTTAGCCATCCCCCCTCTTTCTTTTTTCTTTTTAAATAAGTGAAGCCTTTAGGTTTGTCTTAGTGTTTCTTACCTAGAAGCTCCACTGGAAGGTTAAGGCCCTTGTATGGCATACTGTGATAGACGCTGAATCCCATCCTTACTAGTATTTGCTCCTTGGAGGTGAAAAAATAAATGTTTCATAAAACTCAAATTGGCCTTATCAAACAAAACATCTGCTGGATCAGTGAATGACTGGTGACAGCAGGAGACAGCAGTGCTGGCCTCTCCAAGAGAAGTCACTGCAGTTAATGGAAGCTATTATGGGAAAATTCTGGCAAAAAGTTTTCCTTTTATTATTTTTTTTCTCTTCCAGACAGCTTTAAAAAATTTTTAAAGAAAAAAATGTATTCAGTTGCTAGGGTAACTGTGGTTTCAAAACTACCGTAACAAAAGCCAGATATCACATATCAAACTACTAAATTGTTAATTTGACTGGTATTTTAAAATAACTACATAAAAAAGATGTTTTCTCCTTATCTAGCTATAAAGAACAGAGAAAGGGGGAACATAAAGGGAGGAGAAGAGAGAAAATGAAACTGATAGATTCGTTTAAGAAATGTTTTTACTTTGCTAAATATTTGTTGGAAATAAAAACCCCTTCACCACATTATAGATTCATTTGCATGAAGAAATTTAGTCAGATTCAAAACATAAGGAGGATACTGGGTTATCCTGTTTTCAATTTCTCTTCCCACATTTCAAACCCTGCCTGCATTTTAAGTGAATGGCTTTCTGTAGACACTTGGTAAAGGAACTAGTTACTTAAGGGAGTCATGCATGTTCTGAAATCTTTTATGAGTGACTGTGTTTTTCCTGTGTCTTGCTTTTCATCACTTGGTTTAAAGGGAGTATAATAAAGCCATTAAGCACTTGGATTCTGGAATCAGACATAGCTAGGACTGAATTCCTTTTCTCTCTTACTAAATTCCTTTAACCTCTCTGTGCCTGCTTCTTCGTTTTCAAAAAGAATATCAGGACAAATGACTTGGTTACTTCAATAAGTAAATTGCAAGAAAAGAAAAAGAGGGAAAGGGACTTGAGAAATTAAATGTGTGAATATTGTTTAGATCTGATTTGGGCAGGGGAAGTAATTGTCAAAAATCATTTATGAGACAACTAGTGGGAGATGTTTGGTAATACTAAGGAATTATTTCAAATGTGTTTAGGTACACTTAACATGATATTGTGATTTTGGTTTTATTTTAAAAGAGTTATTGTCTTTTGATATTTTGATACATATTGGAATATTTACAAGTAAAATGATATAATTTCCAAGATCTGCTTCCAATAAGGGAGAAGGAAATGGATGGGGTAGAGAATAAATAAGTTTGGCTATGAGCTGATAATTATTGATGCTGGGTGATGGACATGGAGGGGTTAATTATAGAATTCTCTACTTTTAAATATATATACTTGAGATTTTCCATAACCAAAGGTTAAAAAGAGAAATGGCAACAATATTCACCTGATAAGATTTTGGGGCGGATTAAACGAGATGCTGTGTGCAAATCACCTAGCAGAGTGCCTGCCATACAAGTGCTCAGTAAATTGTAGGTATTTCTATTAGAGAAAACGCCTCCTCTTCCCTGGGCAGAGCAGTGAGGGCCAGACCATGAAACTTGTTGCTGATTGGAACAGCTAATCTTACCCCTCCCCCAAAGAGGCACTTGTCATGACATTTATCTTATCCAAGCTGATTTTGTACTAGGCCCTGTGCTTTACACATATGCACTAAAATTCTGTCGTATACTATCTTATTTTTGTCCTTAGTTCCATGTAACTTTTTGGTGGGAATGCTATTTCAGTGAGAAACGAAAGGCAGGAACTTTTTAGTTCAATTTTTAAGTTTTGAGCACACTACTATGAATTGCCCTATATAGTTTTACTTAACCTCTGTAACAATCCTTCAAAGTTGAAATTATTAGCTTCATGTGAGAAATGTGGAAACTTAGAGGTTTCCTGGCCCACCCAATATCACGGCACTCAGTGGTGGACTTTAACTCACACCCAGCTTCTGCGAGCCCTAGAGGGTTAGTGCCCACCCAGGAGCCCTGACCACTAGCCACCTTGCCTTTCTTTTTCCTTGTCCTAGCTTCAAAACGACCACAACCCAGAAAAAGTTACGTTGACATTCCCAATCAAGAGTCTGAAACCGTATTTATCTGTTCTTTGGACTGACTGGCAGGGTGGCTGGCAGCAGGGAGGTAAGAGATCTGTCTTGTAGCTGACAAGGAGAGTCACAGGCTTGGGTGGTAGCAGAGGAAGGGCTCAGGAAGGAGTAACAGAAAGAAATAGGTTTTCAGGATTGCACTGACATTTGTGTTTAATTTTCCTCCTGTTCAAATGCTATTCGACTTTTAAGAGAAGGAGAAGGCAGAGATACCTTATACCAGAACGGTTCCATTCCAAAAATTAAAAACAGCCAGCTGTCATTCAATACGGTGGGACCTAATTCAAGCACCAGCTGTAATTTAGTTCGGTGGTTGCACGGACACCCTAAACTTGCAAATGATGAGTTGACTTTAGAATGCAGCTTATGTAAATGAGGACAGTTCCCTGCAAGGTGGGTATCTGATTACAACCGGAGTTCTCGGTCGTCCATAACCAGCATTCTCGGGAATGGAGCTGACAAACAGAAACCCCTAGCGACCACGGGCCCGAGGAGAAAGTGTTAGTGCCTCATATTGGAGGGTCAGCCTCCCCGGTCCGGGGCGTGTTGGGAGGGATCGAGTTATTTCAGCAGCCACCGGGAAGTATCCCAACAAACCCTTTCCCTGCCGAGGCCCCGAGGCCCTAGCCCTGAGGCCACAGCAGCAGCCAGGCTGCGGGAAGGAGCCCACACCACCCCTCCCCAGAGCGGACCGCCCACCTCTGCTGGCCTGCCCACCCCCTACTGCGTATCCTGGATCCTCTTCGTCCGGTTGGGCTAGGACCCTCTTTTAGGAATAGCTATTTCAGAAGAAGCGCAAATAGCCCATTATCTGGGCGCCCAAGCCTTGGCATTCTCAGGGGTTCCCGCGGGGCAAGGAAGCCGGCAACTCCCACCAGCTGGGAGGAGAGGAGGGAGCCAGCTGGAGCAAGCCCTGGCGTCGGGAGCACCGACGAC